CTTTCTCTCTCTCTCTGTCTATCTCTCTTTCTCTCTCTCTCTCTCTATATTCCGTTCTTCCCTTTCTCCTCAACAAAATATTCCTTTGTTCTGGCACTTTTTAACGAATCATGAACTCGAGTAGGGTGAATTGGCACTCTCGAGTGATCCTCCAATTCTTTTCTTCAGTTGGCCCAGTAGGCATACCGGATTTTACGAAATTGAAGGTGCTATGAGCCGACGAACCCTCGTTTATCCTGTTTTCATAATCAAAACTGACTGCACGGCGTGAATGATTTCGTTCAACGAGATCGTTTTTCTCGTTTTTCTTTTTTCTTTCTTTTCTTTCTTTTTTCATTTTTTTTTTTTTTTCTTTCTATCATTATTCCTTGTTCTTTCGCTTCGCTAATTTATCGAGACTCCCAACGATTTTTACTCCGACGACAAACATTAGGATCTTAATTAGGACCTGTAGCCTAGCCCATACCAAGAATTTTGCCTCGACCGTCGTCCATTCTTCCGGAAGAGATGACAGAGCCGAGCAAGAAACGGTGTAGGCAAACATGGAATAATCGTGGAAGAGGAAGAGGAAGAGAATGAAAGGGAGAAGGTAGGAAGGAGTTGCGAGCGTAGCGTAAACAATTCCCAGTACAATTAGGAAACGTTTGTCCGTCTATATTTACCGAAGGATCTGTAACTAGCTTAGGTAACACCTAACGCCATTTGTCACTCTAACCGGCGGAACGGCTGATCGATCATGCGAAGATTCTGAGAAAGGAAAGTCGTACACATACGCGCGGGCGTATAAAATGTGGAAGATTTCCAAGATTATATAAAAAAGAAGAAAAAGAAAAAAAAATGAAAACAAAAAAAAAAAATAAAAGAAAAAAAAAGTTAGCTAAGCTTAGAAAAATACTAAAGTGTTTCTTGTTACTGGGAAAAGATAAAAAAACATTCGATATAATTATCGAGATTAATTGCGATATGATTCAGACCTATTTATTACAAAATAATATTATACAAACGAACCACTTGACTCTTATCTTTCTGAGAATAAAATATATATTTATAGTAACACAGCTGACAATAAATTTCACGATGATACACACAGATATATAATTCAATATCAGTTAATCCAGTGGAGTTACTTTTTTTTACCGAATTTAGTCCTCAAGCAAATGATAAGTAATATTACTTATTTTAAATAATATATTGATTCGGTAAAACGATATATTTCCGACGTAAAAACGAATTTAATAGGAAATTACAACTACGTGTCATTTATCTTTAAGAATAGAAAGATATAAGAGTACCCATATCGAGAATATGAAAAATATTACGTTGCGTCATCAATGATATGCGGTAATTTATTTCGCGATTCGTATAACGTTGGAAAATTCATTTCCATCTTGTCAGTGTGGAATATACGAGAGTAACTTTTTAAAGTATTCACTGTAGTCTATGTTCGTGACACCGCATAAAGGTTGTTCAAAAAAAGATGTTAATTTAGCACAAGCCGCTTTTTCCCCGATAGAGACGCGTGTAAGCTTATATGAATAGAGACGACATGCGGGTAATCGTTTCTGTCTTTTCAGTTTCAACGGATACAGATTTTTTAAAAATCCTGCTCGTGCTGGTCGTTCGTCTCGACACGTTTCATAATCTGCCGACGTCGTAGCCGGGCCACCATTATCTTGAGAGAAAAATATAGTTAATGATAGGAAAAACTTGTGAAGTAGGCGAGACAGGAGAAAAGAACGAATATAAGGAAAGAAAAAAAAAAAAAAAGAAAAAGAAAAAAGAAAGAAAAGAATGATGAAACGAAACTTTCTCTCTTTTCGATTCAATCGATCGACCATTGAATGTTTCCTTTCCAATTATTATTAAATAAGCGTATTATATCTTCAATTGAGATAAACCGATTATAATTATTACCGTAACATATTCGCTTTGATTCTCGTTTATCTTGCAACTGGAATAACAAATACGGATCTGCTGCAGGACATGAAGGATCATGAGAAAACCAGGAGAGTTGGTCATATAATCCTACTGACAACAAACTTGTCGCATTATCCATTGCATCACGTTCGGCAACCAGGCGTTAGTTTCCAGGAGAAGGACATTAGGTTCGAGAGAGCTAAGAGGGTTGACAACGGGCACGAGTCAGGCAGTAGACTAACGAGGAGAAGTCAGCGATGTAAACCCCGGGGAAGGTGCGAGAGGTACCACTGTTGGATCTTCTCATTAAGCTTTTCACGAAACTTTAGAACTTCTGGATGTTAGGGAGCCCAGTCAAAATGTAGCCTCATTCTACCATGTAACAGATGAAAGTTCGCTTTGAAATTTGGTAACTAAGAGTAGATCTTGGAACGGCGATACGTTACGGTGCATCCAGCGATCATTATGATTACACCTATCTATATCCAATATAACAAAGAGGAAGATCTTTTTTGCGTGAGTTTGAAACTATTTAACGATCGCTTAAAGATACCCCTACGTTTATTCTTCTCTAATGAGAGAAATGAAAATACGAAAGAAGAAAGATTTTTGGTCAGACAATGGCACATCGATACGATTTATCGATAGGAGGTCATTGATGTTAGAATCAGGATTCCGTCGAAACTTTCCTAACGATGATATATCGAGGTAAGTCCTGGAGCCTTAAGTCTCGATCGTTCCGATAAGGCCTAAAGTACTCTCCCTCTCGTTTCCACCCTCCTTTTCTTCTTCCTTCCTTATCCTGACCAGGATGGGAACATTAGGTACGCCGCAACCCTTCGCGTTAGTCACCTAGATGACCGTGACTGATCGTTCCGTTATAACTCGCCATGAAAAACGTTTCCGCGATATGACATCGTTTGAAAAAGTGACGTCTTTCATTTTTTGACATGGAACTTCGAGGAAGAAGCGAACTGCGTTTGCAAAATCCCCAGACATCGATCTAAGTATTTTATAAATTAACCTTCGTTGCTAACAAAAAGACGTCTGGGTCAAGTGACTTTTTTTTCTCTTCATCGTCGTTAGGTTCCTGAAAGAGATGCGAAATATTTTTTTATCGGTAATAGCTCTTCGTTAGCTCGATTTTTTTTTAGGTATGCTTATATTCGCATCGATAAACGATACTTAAACGATGTTTCTGGAGGGATGAAAATTTCAATGGCTTTTGCCCAAGATAGGAATGGAGATTGAATACATCGTTTCCTATAATAACTTTTCAAAATTGAACATTGTTAATGAGTCACTTAGGATATAATCATCAAAATGCTTTATTGTCCCTTATAATGTGAGATACTTCTGCCTTTTTGGAATGACATCGTCGACGATAAAATTTTTTCCATCATTTCCATATCGTAATTAACATAATTTGTTATATCGAATATTAAAATTTATGCAACGTATGGATTGGATATCAAACGAAGGGAGCCGCATATTGTCAAAAATCGAGTTTCATGATCGTGACATGTTTATAATTTACTTTTGTTTCCATTACTCGACAGAATAGGTCCTTTCTTCTTCATTTCAGTCATCCTTTTGTTCCGTAGTAATAAATCAATCGTTGTAATCTCTTGCTCTTGTGAACTTTCACGAGACTCGAAGAAACTTTTGCTCTAAGTTTGGCACTGAAGACCACCACATATATTTTCTTATTAAAGAAACGAGAGAAGATCACGGTAAGCGTTTTCTTACGCCATGTTAAACGTCGTAATTAAAATGGATTGATTCTAGTTGTACGCCTTCGCAAATGAAAATGTAAATGATCGTGACTACTGAAATTTCATCAATATCAAGTGGAAACATGTCTTCGCTAATAAACTTATATAGAATGATAAATCAGGAATATAAGTTTTTATTATATGGTAAACAGCGCGAAACACCATACGAAAGATTTATAAGTTGGATTTTTCACGCACGAAATTTGATAGGCCGTACCACGTTATTATTTTCCCTGGCTCTTCCATTATTTGGCGTAGGAATAATGTAAGTCAGCACGATTTTCAAGTACGCTTGAGTGAATATTATTATTGTCGTTGGAATTTTCTAGGTTGTATTGCAGAGGAAAAAGTAATACGGTCGAACGTAAAGCTGTCATTCAAAATTAAAGAATTTTCATAATTCATTGTTATTCTAATTTTGCATCATGTTCTGTCATGATCTAAATTTGAAAGAAAAAAATGATATTAGTGAGATAAAAAAGATCTTTGTAAAGTCGAAGTATTTGTAAAATGTTATTATTTTTCATTCGTTATTAATAGGAATGCAAGAAATTCTGATAATAATATAATAATATAAGTTTTATTCAATAAAAAGGTTTGTAATTAATATAATATCTAATGTATGTGCATTATTAGATTTATTTTATACAATAATTACAATGTAATATACTAAAAAGAAGATATTATACAAGGTAATATAATAAAATCTATAATTGTTACATACTGCTCAGAGCAGTGCATTTTGATTTTACTATATACAATTTAATCAATGATATCATTTAAATCGATCAATTTGTACCAGCTTACACGTATAAGTGCTTTAATTTTAAAGAAATAATATATATTATTGTTGAGAATGATTTAAGAAAAAGCAGAAATTTTTTTCTATTTTTGAATCTTTCCTACGCTCATATAATATATTCTTCGATTCTACAAAATCTTCCAAAGAATTACTATACACAAGAAATAATCAATACAATACAATACAACACAAATACAACACAACACAATACAATACAATACGATACAATACAATACAATACAACACAAAGTGAGAAGATTTGTCCATTTTATAAAGTTGAAGACTATTTCAAATAATATGGCTATATTAACATATTAATGATGGAATGTTTTTTCTAAATAAATATGTATTCATATATAGTATAACACAATACAGTTTCTATACTTCATGTATATGAAGACAAAAATCTAATTAAAATATTCATATTTATATAGTGGCAGTATGTAATAAATAACCATTTCAATACACACTTTAACATTTTTATGAAATTATTGATTAAAATTTATATATGAAAGTACAAATAAAATTTTTGTTCTTGTCAATTGTACATAATCATTAATTAATATTGTTTGCATATACATAAGATTATACTCTTTTAGGAGCAACTAATGTTTGTATCCACATCATTTAATAATTAAATTATAAATAATTATTGTATTGAATTATTGATAGATATGTGTGAGGAATCATTAGAATACTTTCTTTCCTGCTGAATTGACTTTAACCATTGTTTATGTTCGCAGAGATACGGATACAGTGGTACCACCATTACACTTATGTCATCGACCGAAGCCATTGGGGCGAGTTTGTCTTCGTTTTCATTAGAATTTTCAGATTTTCCCACCCATGTTCTTCCCATTAATCGACCTCTAGCAGCTTGTACTAATTCTTGTGCACCCATTGTAAGCCTGATATATTTGAGTAATAAGATATTCAATTTTGTCTAATTACAAATTTTTTATTTTTGTCTGATGAATTTATTTTAACTAATTTACCTATATTCTAAAGAAGGTGTATCTGGGGCAAGTGTTTTCCTAAGAATAGTAGCTGCTGTTTTGTCAGAAACAACATCCCATAATCCATCAGTAGCTATTATAATGCAATCACGTTCTGTGAGATTGCAATCCTCCAATTTTATGGATTGTATTTCAGGCTGAGATGACAAGAATGGTTTGATACTGACACCTGTATTAGCTGCTTTTAAGCCATGATCACCAAAACCCCTTGTTACTCCTATGGTACCCATAACTCTACTCTGTAATTATAATATTTATATTATATTAATATTATAATAAAAGATATATTAGATGTTACATAATAAAACTTACTCGTTTTCCATGACCAGAAATAAGTGGTAACTTTAAATCAAGATGTGATAATGTTTTATATGCCCAACCAGTCATGTAAGGTTCTCTATATAAGACCATAGTTCCTAACTCTTTCTGTAATGGCCTTTTTTTGAATTCTAATGGTGTAAAATAACCTTTTAATAATTCGTGACTTCTTAAAAATCCTAAAGCTCTTACACGATTCGATTCAGAATCTGGAGTGTGATCTCTAGTAAGAGCACGTTGACTATCTCCTAATACAAGCACTGCTCTGTTAAAAAGATAAAAATAAATATGACTTATTATAAATACATATATATATATATAGATAAATTAATACCTAGAAATTACAAACCTAGAATCACCAGCACCAGCAGCATATAATCTGCCATTAAGAAATAGAATAGTAATAGCTGTACAGCCTCCACCACCATTTTGAGCTTGACCTTCTACCATTTGGTCCATTTGTCTGTAAGCTAATTCGATAGCACCTGTAACTAAATCTTTACCTTTTATAAATTCTTCTTCATCTTCATTAAATAATACAGTACTTGGTATAGCATTCAACCTATCCTAATAAAAAAAAAAGATTTTTTTTTATATAATTTCCATGGATAATAAGATATTAAATTAAAGTAACAAACACTGTAATCTATAAATGTGAACTACTAACTAGAATTATTCTGTGTAAATGTAATCTTGCAGTAAGAGCCACTTGATATCCAGCATGACCATCAAACATAGAAAACATAACATAAGGCAATGTAGCGTTCATGTCAGTAAATTTAAGGTCTCCTCGTGTTGCAGATGCTTGATCCTCATTCCAAATACTTTTTCCAGCATTTATACATTCTGCGTAACCAGCACACCAAGGTAATCTGCTTAAATCTCTTGGGACTATTATAGGTCTTACTCTATGATCAGCACTAACCTGAAATGGAACATCAAATAAACTTTAAACTAAATATATATATATATATATATTACCTACACATTTGTATTACTTCAAATAATAATCACTATTAAAAATAATATTGCAAAGATAGAATATGTTGATAAAATTATATACCTGTGTTTCTTCAGCTGTAAGTCCTAGAAAACTAGGTCGACTATAAGGCTTATTTTCCACTTCTACCGCAAAATTTGAATTGACATAATCTATCATCAAATCATTGTTTGAATCATTTGGATATTGTAGGTCAAGCTCGCTTACACCTACAGCATTCATCAATACTGATTTAAATCGGTTTAACATTTTAAATTTCTTTTTTTTCTTTTCTTTTTTTTTTCTTTTGATGTAATGTATAAATTCTTAATCTATTAATTCAATAAATTACTATGTCATATAAAATACATATTCAACAAAATATTAAGCACTATTATCGAAAATGTTTCAATGCATTTCCAATCGTGGGATGTAATCATGCGGTGAATGTTAATTAAGTTTTTTTTTTATGACATACACACAATACAATGTATTTGATTGCTTTGGGTTAGCTGTCACCTGTCAAGAATTTGTAAGTATATTAATCATGGACAAAGATAACTATCTCTTTTTTTTATATATTACGTTTAATTCAAGAATATTGTATATGTCTATATACTTACTATTAAACATAATTATAAGATTATCTTAAAATACTGACATCTTGTTGACAAAACTATTGTCAACAATATTATAGGTTATAACTTGACAGTGACTCTGACACGAGTAGCAAGGATGACTAAACACGCCATCTTTGAATCGCTTGTATAATTTTATTCCTATTTATCTTATCATATTATACGCTAGACATTGTAATTTCAACATTTCTAAGATATGTATATACATATCTCAAAGCTAACATAACGATAAATGATAATTTCCATTAATATCATTCGAGAGAATTATATTTGTATCATATAAATTATTATCATAAGAGTATTTATTTGCAGTAGATAAATCGATAAAAATTTTCATCGCGATATCGATATGAGTATTATCGAGATAATTCGATTATTTTCATTTACCATGAAATATCTGTAGATGTCGCTTTATACACCCAAAGGATGTTTAGTACGCAGTCATTGATAGATCCGGCATTAAGAAGTAAATAATGTTATTTTATTAAAAAAGATTATTATTAAAGTTATAAAAAATTAATGTTAATTGTACATGAGATAGAATTTATTGTGATAAAGAATTTAATATATTTAATATTAATATCAAGGTAAAAGAAATATATGTGTGTGAAAGATGTCAAAAACGAAGAAGAATTCACATAGCAGCGAGGTTATCTTTTTTTTTTTTTAAAGACAATTATTAATAAATGATTTTAAAATTTATATATATCGAAATATTATTTTACACAGGAATTTAGTACATCGTATTCATCTTCTTCCGTATCATCTGATGAGGAGATTGATGCAAGAGATTTAAAGCCTATGAAGGATTATCTTACGAATCGTAGAGAATTAGCGCGTCAACTTTTTAAATCTGTCAAACCTGAAAAGATACGTATGATGCTACCACAAGCATTAAAGGTATAATTTATATATTAATTTTTATAATTAGTTATTTTTACAAGATTTATCTTAGGCTTATTAGATTTGATAGTGTTATAGAATCAGCAGTTAATAATATCGTATGTAAGTTCTTTAAATTTAATACATTTGACAAATATCCATCTTAGAAAATGGATTTTGAAGAGCTAGAAGAATGGTGTGCTAGCGAATTAAGTGGGATGTCCAAAACTCGTGTATTATGTATTTTGGATGGGAAACCTATGTTAGAATCGTCTGACACTAGTGAATCAGATGAATCAGGTAATTATAATTTATAGATAAAACAAAAATAAATGTGATAGATTATTAAATTTAAACAATGTTTGTTATGTTAGGTCCTTCTTTAGAAATTATATCTGATACTGAGGAATGGCTTACCGAGGATGATAATATTAAGAAAGAAGATGGTATGTCTGGAAAAACAAAAGTAAAGAAACATAAGAATACAAATAAAATAAAGTCACAGAGTAATAATAAAAAAGAGGATATAGGAAATTCTAAGATAAAAGCTAAAAATATTAATAAAGATGGAAGCAATAATAAATATAAAGATATCAAAGTTAAAAAGGAGGAAGAGAAAGAAACGGGTAAAGAAAAGGAAGCTGATAGTTTGTTAGATTTGTTAGAATTAGAAATGCGTGCTAGGGCAATTAGAGCTTTGATACGTAAAGAAGATGATATAATACCAAATTCAAATGAATCCAAGGCGTTGGCAAATAATGGTACAGTTGAAGAAAATCATGTTAATAAATCTAGACAAGATGAAATAAATGCAAAGGAAAATTGTCGACGGCAATTAGAAAAAATTATAAATTCTCAACGAATGGATGGAGATGAAGAAGATGTAGTATTAGTAGTTCAGCCTACCCCAACAATTGAGTTATTATCTAGTGAAAGTGAAAATGATGAAGTTGGAACAAGGGTAAATCAAAAATTAGAAAATGAACGTAAAATAGAAAGTACAACCAATTTGGATAATAAAAATAATGTTACCAGTTCTACGGAACAAGGAGTTAGAGAATCAAGAGTAATAGAAGGAAGAGATAATGATAAAAAAATTAATAATACTAATGAAGAAATATCTCATCCTCATACTTCACATGACAAAAGTAATTCTTCATTGTCATCTACAAATATTCCAGATAATTCCACAAAACGTAAAAAGGTGAAAAAGAAATCACATTCGAAATGTGAAATAAGATCTGAAAGTTCTTTAAATACAAATAGTAAATCTAATGAATGTTCAGGAAAGAAAGAGGAGAAAGTTTGTTTGCTTGAAGAAAAAGAAAGATTAACAGAAAATATATCAAAACCAGAAGAACCTGTCCCTTCTGTATCAAATTCAAACCAGAAAGTTGTTTCTGATGAGGATAAATTAGCTGACTTTGAGGAAATAATCGATTTAGATAATTACTCTGATGATATGGATGATTTGGAAAATTGTGATAATGATAAAAATAAATATAAAGATAAAGAAAAAATTCAAAATAAGGATAATAGTATTATAAAGGAACAAAAGAGTTCACAGGTAATAGACACTAATTCATCCAATTCACAGAAATTGAAATCGGCTGAAACTTGGGCAACTCGTTATTATCAAACAGACGATGTTCAAAATGTTATAAAAGAATCAAAAATACAATCGGAAATTCGCAAACGTTTAAGAGAACGTCAGAGACTTTCTAAACTTACTAATTCACCAAATTTAAATTCTTCGCCATCTCGCGTACCAGAAGTTAATAATGATAAGATAGAAACAAAACCTACTGGTTCTGTCGAAGAATATTTAGCTTTGAAACAAGCAAATCAATCAAATTTGAATGCAAGTAGTGACGTTAGCGATAATTCTGTTAATACACAGGAAAAAGATAAATGCATAAATATATGCAATGAAAAAAACGTAAATGTGGGAGATGAAAAATTAATTGCTTCTGTAAATGAAGAAGATGTACAAAAATCAATTGTAACTACTGTAAATAATAATATATAAATTCTTCAATTGCTTTATAACAAATAATATCATTCTTATAGTAATGAATTAGAATACTCAGGCATATATTTTTATAATAAAAAGTATGTATATATGTACCATTCTTTTATTCTTAAATTACAAATCTATTTGTTACTATGTACACACATATATATATATATATATATATATATATATATATATATATATATATTAATTTCGTGCATCACAAGACGGATTAATTGCATTCATGTTATTAAATATTTTAATCTAATGTATTTGCTTGTAGCAATTAGGATATTTCCTCAGAATATTTTCTTTTTGTATTTTTCACAGTCAAGTACTGATATTTGCTTTTCCAAAAAAATTTTCAAATTTCGTTCTATTATTCCCTTGAGATAATTCTTGAAAAATCTTGTAAACCAATTTATCAATTTCGGTCCAAAAATATCCATTATACCAAATCCAGTGAATCTCACTTCCAATTTATCAAACTCTGATACTTTAATATCCTCTAATTTTATTGTACACTGTGGAGTATTATAATCTGCACTTATTTTAACTCTTAATGCTATATTTTCTATTGTACCTAATATATCGCCACATATATTTATAAAATCGTATTTAAGCTGTAAATCACAAATATAAATTTACTATTATATAAACTATTATATCGTCAATATAAATGTATACATATATAAATTTTTTATAAGTTTACCTGATATTTATTAAAACGTACAATTGCATTAGATATACCAAAACCGCAAGAAGCCGTATATTTATGGCCTTGTTGAATTAAAATTACATCTGCTGTTCTTTTAATAGTCGTTAAACCCCTGGAAAAAATATATTTACATAATCCATTGAAATAAACGTATATGTATATTTATGAAACATTATAAAACATATTTCTCACTCGAAAGTGCCATTAAAGGTTTGAATTTGACCTTTCATGTCAATGACTCCTAAATTGGTAATAAAAACTGCATTAATATTTGGTAATTTAATCTTTTCTAGATTATAAACCTTGATCATATCTATCATAGCATCGATGAATAGGTCGATTAAATTATTGATATTTATCTGAAAATAATATATTTAATATATTTACAGATTAGTTTATAAATGTATCTAATACCTCTTATATTAGATAAATATGATTGAATTTACTTTAATCGAATTAGTGACCGAGGATGTACACGATGAAGCCGCATTTGTATTGACGCAATCAGACGATGGTAAAACTATCACTGATCCGAAATCATTGATTTTTTCAAAACGTTGATTTTTTTCCGTTATGATTTTTATATTTTTCGAAATTTCTATTTCAAGACAAACTTGAGTAAGCCGACGAATTTCATGTTCCACCGCTTCAAATAGATTAGAACTGTATAATAGATAATAAAGTATAAGTAATTATAGAACATTTCATCGTACGTGCTAATTAACGCGAAATACAATTTACCTTCCGCTTGAATTCGTTGGTAAAAAGAAGTGGTATTGTTGAACTTGATAATGTCCCTTGTTCGTTTTCTACAATAAATGAATTTCAGGAAGATAATTACCGTTAAAAAAGTAAAATAATTTTTATATCGTCCAACTAAATTTTAATAAATTAAACTTACTTGCAATTGTCCGAACCCAAGAATAAGACCATTGCTCGACCATAAAATTTTCTCAACTTTTGATGTCGAATTATTAACAGAATTTGATGCTATCATGTATGCTGAAAAATGTTAACCGGTAAATAAATAAAAAGGATCTTTTGATATTTAAATTAAATTCAAATTTGACATACCTTGAAATTCGACAAATGATTCATTCAAAACGACGTTTATTGTAGTAGTACCAGGATACAAATAAATACTGATGTTTTTGTATTTAATTAACAATTCATTACCGTATATATTAATTTTATTGCGATCCGAGACTTGGACTTGAAAATTTTCCGGTATTCTGCATACTAAAATATCTTTATATTAATTTCATGTTGTTAATTTACGTTGCAAATATCGGACGTGAAACGGACAAACAGGGTACGATAAAATTAAAGCTTAGAAACATAGTTAGGCATATTAAATCGTGCCGTTATATATTAATAAAAAGTTAAATGTGTGCTATCATGTAATCGACTGCAATTATATTCTTTCTTTACGCTATAATATTAAAGTTAGGAAATATTTCGTTATTACGCGTTTATTATGACTAGAACAGAAATAATATGATCAAATTTGTTTTATTTTAATGGAAATCTCT